CGTGTCTTCGGCGTGACGAAATGCAATACTTAAATATGAAGCCATGTTTTAACAGTCTAGGTTTTCTCCTACAATCACACTGTCTATCTGTGTAGGGACGGTGGTGTAGCCTAGTGATTAAAGTGTTTGTTCATCACGACAAAGGCCGGGTTCGATTCCCCACATGGGCACAATGTGTGAAGCCCATTTCTGTTGTCCCCAGCCTTGATATTGCTGGAATATTGCGTAAAACCATACTCACTCACTCACTCACTCACTCTCTTTATCTGTGTAACACTTCAGTGGCACAGAAGAGAGTATGCTCAGAGATCATTGGGTGTGTTGTTTGATTCCTGGCCCATCATACCAAGAGACGTAAAGAAATCATACTTGTACCCTGCCTGTTCAGGGGTGGAAATAACCCATTGCCCGACGTCCGAGTCCAGTATTTTTTCTGTCGGGCAAAGCAAATTTGTATATCACACTGTACCGGTGTCCAGTTGACTTTCCAATGTAAATTATGTTGTTTATTTAAAAAGTCAACAAGAAAACGGCCGGTACAGTGGAAAAATTATCAGGGCAAGTGATTTTACATGTACCACTGTACCGGAGTACACTAGCAATTTTAAAGTTATTTCCACCCCTGCTGGTGCTCGGCATTCAGTGGGGTGTCTTCCCATAAGAACTACAGCTTAAAACAACACAAGTTATGGTCCATGGGAGTAAACCTTCAGTGGATAAAACAAGGACTGGTCAGCTTGGAGTCAGTATACCATGTCAGAGTGGAGTATCCAGGTGAAAAACTGTGGCATGGTATCTCATCGCCCTACGATGATTAAACCATATTGAGTCTGCACTAGCTCAAACAGCCATAACCGCCTCCGGTGTAGTGGTTAGAGCGTCCGCCTGGAGAGCGGAAGGTCGCGGGTTCGATCCCCAACCGTCATACCAAAAGACGTTAAAATATGGTACTTGTTGGTCCCTGCCTGGCGCTCGGCATTAATGGGTACAACAAGGACTGGTCGGCTCAGTATAATGTGTCTGAGTGGGGTATTCATGCTTCACTGTGGCATGGTATCTCATCGGGCTACGATGATTAAACCATATTGAGTCTGCACTAGCTCAAACAGCCATACACACACATGCAAACAATCATGATTGAAATAATCTTGAATGTACAAACCAAGAGCTCGCCATCTATATAGATTATAGAGATTGATAATTGTTGACCAAATATTGATCAATTATTGATTAAATATCAGAGAAGTTTATTTGAGCAAAAATCAAGAAGAAATTTGAAAAAAATCAATATGTTTCACATCACTGGTGGGATGTTAAATATTTATACATGGATTACTTACAAAATAGCATTCTTGACATTATTTCAAAGCAGCCCATGAATGAAGACGTAACTTTATGTATTTCCTGTCTGTTTATATTAAAACTACATTTTATCACAATAAGTTAGGTAAGATGTTATCAACAACACAGTTTTCATATCAATAATTGTAAATAATTTTTCACGTCAACGATATTTCCAATAATGTAATGTTTTCAAAGGAGAAGGCACTGCAGGTATACAGATCGTGAATGCTTCAAGCTTCTCAACTGCCTATGTGTGCACTTTTTGGGATGGAAGTTCCATTGTTAGATGTACATAATTACTCTCCATCACCATGAAATGTCCATTTCACTCACTCACCCATCACTCAATCACTCACTCACTCACCCATCACTCACTCACTCACTCACCCATCATTCACTTACACACTCACAACCCACTTCCTCACTCACTCACCAACCTACCAACTCACTCACCCATCACTCATTATTCACTTACACACTCACAACCCAACTACTCACTCACCAACCTACCCACTCACTCACCAACCCCAACTAACTCACTCACTCACTCCTCCCACCACCCACCCACCCACCCACTCACTCACTCACTCACTCACTCACTCACTCACTCACCAACTCACTCACTCACTCACTCACTCATACACCCACCCACCCACTAACTCACTCACTCACTCACGTGAAGCAGCCCCCAAAGGAGCATGCACTAAGGTTAGCTATTTCTTTCCATTAAAAGTCATTAAATCTGAAGATTCAAGAGACATCCTGACACCTATACCATCACCAAGTCACAAAAACGGCAGGGTGGGCTTGGTGTGTAACCCCTGCTGTGGAGGCAACATATTCTGCATAATGAGATGAAGATAACGAAGCATCCCCCCTTGCGTTCCTCTCACAATCTCAGGTGGTTATTTGTTAGGCTCACGGCAAGCCAATCCCCATTTTCTGCTCTAATAGTCAAGAGATCATGAATCTTGAGGTACACGAGGCATACAAGTGCTTGACAACAGATACACGAGAGATACCCTTGTAATTTGTTATCCCGACAGGTACGGAGGGCCTTGTGTCCCAGAGGGGACTGTTAGAGTTACCCTGACTAAGCAAGCTGATGGCCTAGAAATGTAAATCAAGAACTTAATATTGATCCTTATGTACAGGAAGTTATCTGTAATCTTTTGTCATTGTTAAAAGTACAATACATTCAGGGCTAATATTGTTTTTTGTCACATCCACAGATTTGTTTCCAAAAACTTTGGATACGGTTGTAAAAAATACTGAAGTTTCATATAAAAAATGTACTAATGTGACCTCTAAAAATAATTGTCAGTTGGATTACAAATTGGAATAGAATGCTGCGAAACTTCTACTATTTGCCTGCTTTCAAATTTTATTGAAGACAAAGTGTATTAGACCAGATGGGCATGCCCTTTGTGTCACACACATGCCAAAGATCAGGTCCTCTAGACCAGATGACATGTGTTCTGCTGTGTCACACATGCCAAAGATCAGGTCCTCTAGACCAGATGACATGTGTTCTGCTGTGTCACACACATGCCAAAGATCAGATCCTCTAGACCAGATGACATGTGTTCTGCTGTGTCACACATGCCAAAGATCAGATCCTCTAGACCAGATGACACGTGTTCTGCTGTGTCACACATGCCAAAGATCAGGTCCTCTAGACCAGATGACATGTGTTCTGCTGTGTCACACATGCCAAAGATCAGGTCCTCTAGACCAGATGACGTGTTCTGCTGTGTCACACATGCCAAAGATCAGGTCCTCTAGACCAGATGACGTGTTCTGCTGTGTCACACATGCCAAAGATCAGATCCTCTAGACCAGATGACATGTGTTCTGCTGTGTCACACATGCCAAAGATCAGGTCCTCTAGACCAGATGACATGTGTTCTGCTGTGTCACACATGCCAAAGATCAGATCCTCTAGACCAGATGACATGTGTTCTGCTGTGTCAAACAAGCCAAAGATCAGGTCCTCTAGACCAGATGGGATATGTTCTGGTGTGTCACACATGCCAAAGATCAGATCCTCTAGACTGAGACCAGAAAGATCAGGATGTGTTCTGCTGTGTCACACATGTCAAAGATCAGGTCCCTAGACCAGATGATCGTGTTCAAAGATCTAGGTGACCAGTTCTGCTGTGTCAAACAAGCCAAAAATCAGGTCCTCTAGACCAGATGGGATATGTTCTGGTGTGTCACACATGCCAAAGATCAGGTCCACTAGACCAGACGGATGTGTTCTTGTTTTGTCTCACCCATGCCAAAGATCAGGTCCACTAGACCAGATGGGACATGTTCTGATGTGTCACACATGCCAAAGATCAGGTCCACTAGACCAGACGGGATGTGTTCTTGTTTTGTCTCACCCATGCCAAAGATCAGGTCCACTAGACCAGATGGGATATGTTCTGGTGTGTCAAACAAGTCAAAGATCAGGTCCACTAGACCAGACGGGATGTGTTCTTGTTTTGTCTCACCCATGCCAAAACACCAGGCAAACTCTCACAGTAATAGGTGAGAGAATACATGGTTACAGCGGTAATCTACACAGGTAGACAGAAACGTTTTCTTCGGATTAATCTCCCAGTTAGCAGGCACTAATCTTATTATCATGATAATTACAACCGTTGGGCAGGAGTGTCTCAGGTTATCAGAATAATACCCACTCATGGTAGACAAGGACGTGTCTCGTAATACTGATAATACCTTCAGGTGGGCAAGAACTCTGATTAATTTTGTCTGCAAAGCATTGGACGAGAATCCAAAGGCCATTTTTAAGTGACCTGTTATACCATCTCTACCTGACTACCTTGCTCACATTGACTCCAGTGTTGTCTGACCCAGGCTCTAAACATTAAACCATGACTTTCTGTCACAGAAAGTAAACTGAAAATACCTTTAGAAATGAAATATTCCTTCAGCCAACCAACAAGAGCTGATCCAGAACCTTCAAGAAGAATGGCGATATATTCTGGATCCATGTGGCACTCAACTAAACAGCAGACTTTTCCTGTGCACAAGTTTTTGCGTGATTTGTGGCAGGGGTTGGTCATACACGCTATTAATGTCACTGAACATGAAAGCAATTGTAGATGTGTGTGCACACTGTGCATGACATTGAAAGATTGTATTTGCCTACTCAATCTCAATTCAGGCAACTGTCATGCCACCAAAAGCTGCTGAATAGCTGTCATTAATTTCATTGAGATTTGTATCCTTTCAATACATTTTACTTCATGTATCTATCTTGTGCGGTTTTTAAACGAGATTGATTTAAAGCTATAGAGAACTTTCTTTTTGTCACCAGTTTATAGCCATGCAGAATGTGTAAAAGACTCAATTTTAGGGACTGGTCGGCAACAACAACTAAGGTGATTTAACAGCGGACATAACTTTACCCATCCTTGTCAAATGCTCTGCCTCTCCATCATGTAGGTTAAAGTGTTCACTCACCATACCGCAGGTCTGGGTTCAATTCCCACATGGGTACAATGTGTGAAGCCCATTTCTGGTGTCCCCAGCCGTGATATTGCTGGAATATTGCCAGAAGCATCATAAAACTACTCACTCACTCACTCACTCACTCACTCACTCTACATCATACAACAAGGTCACAGACTGAGGGTTTAGCTCACCCGGTGTGCCACTCTCCTGTCGCCTGTTGAGTGCTGAGACAAGGTTCCGGTGCTGTGCTGCCAAGGAGGACTCACTGTTGGCTGCACCTACAAAGATACATGAAGATACTAGTGGTACAAAACTACTCCTACTTTTGTACTTCATATTACACATATAAGGAAGAGTGTTTTTGGTGGATGCAGGTTAATTGTTATGCCAATATTAGGCAATCGTCATTGTGACATCCCAATAGTACCCATACTGATAGTGCCAATGACAATGGTAAGAGAGTCCTGTATCAAGAGTTATATGCGAGAATGCGTTCTGTATCAAGAGTTTGATGCCAGATTGCGTTCTGTATCAAGAGTTTGATGCCAGAATGCGTTCTGTATCAAGAGTTGGATGCCAGAATGCGTTCTGTATCAAGAGTTTGATGCCAGATTGCGTTCTGTATCAAGAGTTGGATGCCAGAATGCATTCTGTATCAAGAGTTGGATGCCAGATTGCATTCTGTATCAAGAGTTGGATGCCAGAATGCGTTCTGTATCAAGAGTTTGATGCCAGAATGCGTTCTGTATCAAGAGTTTGATACCAGAATGCGTTCTGTATCAAGAGTTTGATGCCAGAATGCGTTCTGTATCAAGAGTTTGATGCCAGATTGCATTCTGTATCAAGAGTTTGATGCCAGAATGCGTTCTGTATCAAGAGTTTGATGCCAGAATGCATTCTGTATCAAGAGTTTGATGCCAGAATGCATTCTGTATCAAGAGTTGGATGCCAGAATGATGCCAGATTGCGTTCTGTATCAAGAGTTTGATGCCAGAATGCGTTCTGTATCAAGAGTTTGATGCCAGAATGCGTTCTGTATCAAGAGTTTGATGCCAGAATGATGCCAGATTGCGTTCTGTATCAAGAGTTGGATGCCAGATTGCGTTCTGTATCAAGAGTTTGATGCCAGATTGCATTCTGTATCAAGAGTTTGATGCCAGAATGCGTTCTGTATCAAGAGTTTGATGCCAGAATGCATTCTGTATCAAGAGTTTGATGCCAGAATGCATTCTGTATCAAGAGTTGGATGCCAGAATGATGCCAGATTGCGTTCTGTATCAAGAGTTTGATGCCAGAATGCGTTCTGTATCAAGAGTTGGATGCCAGAATGCGTTCTGTATCAAGAGTTTGATGCCAGATTGCATTCTGTATCAAGAGTTTGATGCCAGAATGATGCCAGATTGTGTTCTGTATCAAGAGTTGGATGCCAGATTGCGTTCTGTATCAAGAGTTTGATGCCAGAATGCGTTCTGTATCAAGAGTTGGATGCCAGAATGCGTTCTGTATCAAGAGTTTGATGCCAGATTGCGTTCTGTATCAAGAGTTTGATGCCAGAATGCGTTCTGTATCAAGAGTTGGATGCCAGAATGCGTTCTGTATCAAGAGTTGGATGCCAGAATGCGTTCTGTATCAAGAGTTGGATGCCAGATTGTGTTCTGTATCAAGAGTTGGATGCCAGAATGCGTTCTGTATCAAGAGTTGGATGCCAGAATGCGTTCTGTATCAAGAGTTTGATGCCAGATTGCATTCTGTATCAAGAGTTTGATGCCAGAATGCGTTCTGTATCAAGAGTTTGATGCCAGAATGCGTTCTGTATCAAGAGTTTGATGCCAGATAGCATTGCTGCATCATATTTTATGGATATGTCATTAATAAAGATTGATTTCATTGTCTGCTTGACACATGTTTTTCAGGGTGGTGGGGTAGCCTAGTAGTTAAAGTGTTTGCTCATCATGCCGAAGACCCGGGTTTGATTCCCCACATGGGTGCTATGTGTGAAGCCAGGGAGAAGGCGACCATAAGTGGTGCACTTGTGCCTAATCCTGTTGTCTTTTGGACAATAAAATATGTTTAAACTAAACTGGTGTTCCCTGCCATGATATTGCTGGAATATTGCTAAAAGTGGCATAAAACTCACTCACTCACTAACATTTTTCTCCTTGAAGAAATAATGCCCAACAAAAGAAAGCATACATGTAAAATTTGGATTTGACCTAAAAGTTGCAAATGTTATCAAAATGTCATCAAAAACAATCTCTGAAGGCCAAACTTAAGGCCTACCGGTAAGTTGTAACTAGACAGATACAGCTCTGACAGATACATCACCATTAAGTAACCATCTCGTGTTTGTTTGACTTCAGCCACCTTCAAACATGAGTGTATACTTTTTATGAGACAGTTTATACAGTCAGGTTGAAAATTTAAAATCTTAAATTTAAGACTGAATTGTGATAATTATTAACCTTAGTGGGTGGGGTCAGAGAGAGTAGAATTCCTTTTACTTTTGTAAAAAATAAATTTCTGGCTAGAGTCAGTGAGTGAGTGAATTTAGTTTTACGGCAAAAATCTAGCTATATGGTAGCGGTCTGCAAATAATCGAAATCTGAACCAGACAATCCAGTGATCATGGTAGCATGTCTGTAAGTGAGTTCGGTCGCTTTAGTCTTCCACAATATCAGACAATCCAGAAATGATCAACACACATTGTACCCATCGATCTACGAACTGGTTTCTGACTAGAAGCTTTAACCATCAGAACAAACTGTCAGAACAAACTGTCATTGAAACTGTAAACACTTAGATAATAACTCACTGGACACATTTCTTGATTTGTTTTAAACTTCTTTAAAATTGCTAAAAAATTATCTCAAACCAAGTATTCATACATAAACATGAATTGTTCAAGATCCTGGAAACAGATCCTTCTACCAGTAAATGTGGGCTATACGATCGAATAAATACCAGTCAACTTTCAGCTAGGTCAGTATACTCAGTTAGCATCTACACGATACTAGATCATACTTGTATTTATATGAATTTATATATGGTTGTATTTGATAGGAGAATTTGAATCCCATGATGTGATGTTAATTTCGGGTTCTGTCTGATATAAGAATTTGAATCTCATCATCTTATATTTATCTCGGCAATATCAAGTGCTCAGATCCTATTGATACAAGATTCTCATGATTCTAATTAGTCCTGCTACAGTAATAATTGAGAGGCTAGAATTTTCAAAAGAGCAATCAGTCATGAAATCATATACTATTACATACTGAACAAAACTAATTTCGGGGATAATGAACATTGTGGCAGATATTTCTTTATTGTGCATGTTCTCAGCGCATACAACATGATGGACATAATTACCCCGTTAACCCACCCTGTCTGTGAGGTGTTAGAAGGTTAATAGTCATATGACTTATACCACCAGGTACCCATTCACTGCTGATTGGACAGAGGCAATTTTGAACAAACCCACTAGCCTACAGTGAGAACACATTTGTCACGTGTGATTCATTGCGAGGCAGTACAGAAGTCCTGAAAACTCTTAGGAGTCAAGCTGCCAAACATGGTCACATACTCAAGGACTCCCCGGCTGTACCCAACTGACCAGGGTGCAGTTGTACAAAGCGATCTTAGGGCTAAGGTGATCGTAACTCAGATTCCCTAACATAGACTTACGACTGTCGTAGCGCTAAGGTTGTTTTGTACAACAGCGCCCTGAGCTGTACGGACAAAACCACACACCACCATATAACAGTATTCAAAACACAAAGCCTGGTAACGGAAAGGTGTTAAGTCTTACAGCAATGTTTCCTTGGACCTTTACAGTAATATATTGTCCAACAGCTTCATTAATGTTTTATTTTATTATTTCCAACATGAAGTCAACAGACAAAGAATGTATTTAATATCATCGATTATGCTCAATCAACATTACATCAGCTACTGATTACTTTTTTAAACCAATAATCACTCTTTTAGCAATTCTCAGTACTATCTAACCTGTCACACTTTTTTGTGACATGATATATACCTGATAGTCATGGTAAAAGGCATGACATAATTTACAAAAGATGGCGCCACTGTATTGTAGTTCTTCCGCTTACAGGTATTATTATGACCTTAGTGGTTTTAGGGTCCTATGGCTGCTGGAATTGATTGAAAATTTTCAAAGTTTTGAGTTTTAACAATTTTCAAAACTTAGAAAGTGTTTATTAAAAGAATGAATGAATGAATGAATGAATGAATGAATGAATGAATGAATGAATGAATGAATGAATCCATTCATGGTGCTAAGAATGGTATCTATGTTTCAGATTAGTATGTGAAAGAGATGTATTAAACAACCATGTGATAACATCAGCTTTTCATCATAAACTTGCCCTTTTAATGTCACAAACTAGTCACATGATTGTGATTAAATGTTGTTGGTGTGTTTTTCAGATTTCCACTGAACGATTCTGAAGAAATGGTCCTAATGTTGAAACACTGAAGATGAAGTACTGCTAGATGAGTTTATTCCTGAGCCGGAGCGTTTGCTCTTCACACTGAAGACTTGGGTTCGATTCCTCACATGGGTACAATGTGTGTAGCCCCTTTCTGGTGTCCCTCACCGTGATATTGCTGGAACATTGCTAAAAGTGGTGTAAAACTAAACTCACTAACTCACTCACTATCCCTGAACCAATGTGGACATCTTCTTTGCCGTCACCACTGCACTTCCTGAAGGTTATTCAGAATTGTGTGCATCTTGTTTCTTCTGAGAGAAATTTTGATGCCCCTTGTACAACTTCCAGGTAGATGATTTTGGGCCCTGTTGTATTTTCAATGTTGGTCGTGACTCTCATTATGTCTTCTTCTAAACCATATAGACTAAAGAGATTACTCTTTCTGAAATTGTATATTACTGCAAGAAATGGTGTTCAGAATTAGTTAATTTTCCTGGATGCAGACTGATTGACATCCAAGCTGCCCTAAAGATGTTTTTAAAATAAAATAATAAATAAGAATATCCTCTGAAAAATGATGAACATGTCCACATGCCATTTGTCCCTAGCAGCATTACTGGATATGTAATTCTAGTTTGCTTTAGACTTGTACTTGTTGCACAGCATATCCCTCAATCCCTGTGAGTTTCCCAACAGCTAACCTCAAATTGTCTTTCATTTAAATCTGTCAGTGTTAGTAATAAAATGTGTCTTCATAATTTAAACCGTTTGTTTTCAGTGCATGTTTGTTTAATGTTCAGGGATTGGGATAGAGAACTTTTACA